CCTCCACTGCTGCTTTTTTCCCCCCCCCTTTTGTAGCATTTATTCATATTCAAGGCTTAGGTAAAAGAACAGAACTGACATCACAACAGATCTTACATGAGTGTTTTAAAAAGCAGATGAAGAGAACGGGGTTGGAAAGCTGTGCAAACCAAGAGCAATACAGAGGAGAGGCAGAATTGCTCCAAAGACTTTTTTTCAAGGGTAGTTCTCAAGTTGTTCAGTCTCTCTCCAAACTCAGGAAGACAATTCCCTATTGACTGAATCCCTTCACTTTCTGAAGGTTTCCCTCTCCCCAGTCACTTACGCCTCTCGGACTGCACAGAACATGGGAAGATGATGGGGGCTGCATTTATGCGCAGAGTATTGGGGCTTCGCCAGTTTTCAGTGCTGACTTGCAGGCCGTCCTCACCAGTCCATTACCTTCTGCGAAACATGCGTATGAAGTGAATTCTCAGTGCTGGTTCTCTGCACCACACTCATTCACAGATAGATTTTAATTATACCAGCCACTATTACTTCACCTTTTATAATGAACACGTTATTTAGAATTCTGTTAGAATTCAGCAGAGGAAACATCTAACTATTCCTAACTGCTGATGGCATCGCATTTTTAGACATTGCCCGATTTTTAACATTGATTATATTATTTTGTACATAGGTACCCATTGTTTGTTTGTTCAAACACTGGCCCTGGAACTCTCCCAGCGTTGTGCGCTGCCGAGGGGGGTAAGCAGAGCTGCTTGTTTTGCTATTTAAATCATCTCTGTTCCTTGATTATTGACCTGTCAAGAAAAACACTTGATAACCCATGACTTTCTTCCAGCTGCTTTTTAACAGCTTCTTCCCCCCGCCCTCAAGGCCAAATGAAAGCTTACCTTCCCCTTTGGGCAGGTTTTAATTCTCGTCCTCTTTTGGTTCCTTTTCCAAGTAGTTTGTTCTCATTACGTAATGAAAGGTTTGGTGGAAGCTCGTTTTGTACAGAGCTATTTATACAGGTCATACAAATAGTGTTTTGTGATAACTGCCACGGGTTTACGCGGAGAGGTGACACGCTTCTGAGGTCCCGTGAAACACTTTGAACTTCAGACACTAGTTACAACTACTCGTTAGAAGAAATTTTTTTCAACTGGGCAATCAAGTGTGAACCTCCTGAAAGCACCAACATCCCATTCTTGAAGGCAGCAAGAGATGGCAGTAGATCAACAGACTTCAGCATAAAGCATAAGCAGAACAGCCCCGGCAGCGGCTGTCGAGGGCAGGCGATGAGGAAACTGTGCTGCTGCACCTGGGTCATGTAGCAGATCACAGCCCAACAAAAAAAAAACACAAAACATTTCTCTTTCCCTGTGGGTCGGGACGGGCCACACCTTTTGAGACAGAAGATTTGTCCAGCAAGTTTTAATGTCGTAGACAAGTTCTACTTAGAAATGCTGAGAGATACTCAACCTTCCAAAGGATTTCTAATGATGAAGTGCTGTTCCTTTAATTTTCCATTCACACTGAACATGGCAAGGGACAAGTAAACTGTGCCTGTGGCATGAGGGAGGTATGGCGGGGGGAGTATGGCTGCAGTTTCCTACCAAGGCCTGCTGAAATAAAATTTACGTTAATACAATTAGGAAATCTAGAAAACGGAACGGGTTTTTAAGAGACATGCAGTATTATTTGGGATGGAAACAGACTATCCTTTGCTGAATTTTCTCTGTACACCGTGAATAGCAGGTGGGAAACCAATAAAAAGAGTGTGATTGTACTTTTTGTCAACCAGAGATGTATAGCCTATGCTACAAAGTTTACTTCAGTTCATGGTTCTGGATCTCTTCCTGTTTTGGGGTGCCTGAAGTACAGTTATGAACACACACACGCACTCATAACACACGAACAGCAGGAACCCATTTTAAGAAACAGCTTAGTAAGCTTTCAGAAACCAGTTTTCACATTTGGACTTAACGAGACACAGGCAAGCTGCAGTGGAACTTTACATAGTGAAAATGTAATAGCACGTTGTTTGTCATTAACCCCAGGGATTGCTGGTGGCAGTGGTTTGAAGATGAATCGTTAGTTCATTACTACCCTTTGACCGCACCTCACTCTGAAAAATAAACCCCTGCTCTGAGGCAGCCCAGAGCCGACTGGCATCGCCGGCTGAAGCGAGGAAGGTGCAGCTGCGCCGTGCGGGGTCAGGAGGCACAGAGGGAAACCCTCGCTGCCATCGCCCCTGCGCAGGGTCCCCCCGGCGGCCGGGGCGCGGGCTCCGCTGCAGCTCTGATGGTGCTGGCACGCGGCAGTAGCACTCCAGCCGCCCCTCTCGCTGCCCCTGCAAGTTACACGCGCAGACACAGGCTCGTGCAAACTTCTGCTCAAGCCAGAAGTGAACAAAAATTCAAGATTTCTCTATAACTTAGTCCTGCTGTGTACAGGACCGGTCGGTGCAGCCCTCTGTAGCGTGACACACAGCACGGTGCGGGGCAATGTGCACTGAGGGGTCTCAACAGCTGCGTGTTCTGCATCTTTACAAATACCTTCCCCTTAGCCATAAACGTAGAAGAGCACACAATGGATGTAGGTAATGCAGAATTCAATACATTTCTTTTGATATTTAAAGTGGAAAACATGTTTATTAACATTCTTTCAAGCTTTCCTTATTCAAGGCCATATAAAAAAATCTCTGCATTTTGATTATATGTATGTTTTTACTTTCTACACAGTTACAGAGGTATTATATAGCATTTAGTTTTTTCATGATACACTGGTAAGTACTGAGTTCTGTTAAACAGTTATAAGCACTTGTTTTCAAATCAGGTATTTGAAAAGAACAATTTTTCTATATACATAGTTTAGCAGACTAACGCAGCATAGAATGCTCCTTAGTAAGAGGTATACGAGTTGAGGATCAATAGAATACTTACCTAAAATTATTTTTCTATGTGGAACAAAACCTCTGTTTTAGTCATCCCCCCTCCTCCCCCCCAACTCCCACATCATTGCTGGAAACCAGACTACGTGGTAGTAGCAAGTAAGGATAACTCGTGTGTTTATGGTGGATCTTACCTTGTGAATTGCTCAAAACTAAACACAGAATACTCTAAGT